AGGAAAACATTCAGAGTACATTGTGATTGCTCTTTTAATAGAATTACTTATTGAAGCAGAGATTTTAGGATAAGCAATTTGAATTAAAATGTCATAATCAAGAAAAACTCTGAATAGTTACTATGTGAACCCAGGCCTGGAATTAAATTTAAGAACCTGTGTGAAATTAAGCATAAGATTATTTGAAAGTAAATAACAGCCATTGGGCATGTACTACTCCCTATCTAGTCTCACTTGCAGTAATTCAATCTAGTTGCAGAAGCAAGATCATGCAACTCAAGTGTCCAGGATCATGTTATGAATATCAAATAAATAATATGAACCTGTATAAATAATTTGTACATTTGAATAGGTGATAAGCAGGCTGTGAAATTCTTTAATTAATACCCACAAAGAAAAGCTGCATTAGATACATTTAAGAAATAGAAAGTAAAATGTAAACACTAGATTGAATGAGGAAGATGATGGGCTCTAACATGAAGTTTATTTCCAGGTGCCTGGCTACTGAGTTCAAATATGGTCACCATATTTGTATCTTCTATCTCATTCTACTTAAGATGGTCTCACCAATGGTCTTGGGATGGGTTTTTGAGGTTTCTTTGATCCAAGATTTTTTAGGGCATTGTAGTACTTTTTCTGTTCCTCAGTCAAAAATAGATCTTTTCCACCTAAGTAATGGGAAAAAATACTGTTGTTCATCCGAAGTTTAAGCAGTCAACTAAATAAACAGCAACAAGTTTATGTAAAAACAAAAGTAAGTTACACTACAGCACGTTATGCCCAGTATATAAACTGGGAGGAGTTAAACGGAAGAGACCAATCACTGCTCAGGTCAGGCTGGGTGTTGGCAGTAGGTGGTGAGCAACTGTATTGTGCATCACTGCTGGTTATTTTTTTTTTTTTCCTTTCCCCTTTTAATTTTATATTCTCTCTGCTTGCTATTCCCCTCATTATTATTATTAGTAGTAGTAGTAGTAGTACATTTTAGTTATTAAACTGTTCTTATGTCAACCCATGACATTCTTTTGATTCTCCTCCCTATCCCGCCACAGAGGAGGGAAGGGTGAGGGCACTGACCGAGTGTCTGCATGGGACTTAGTTGCTTTAAAACCATAACAATGTCAAACTAACATTCACACAATTAAATTTGGATTACAAGAGACCCTGAATTAGCTCTTGTAGTACTTATCTTTTTCCTTTGTTGGTTGAAATTGCTGATAACCACTCCAATGAAGAGGTTCAGCATGAAGAAAGATCCAAAAATAATGAAAACCACAAAATATATATACATGCTTAAAAATGCTTCAAACTTTGGCTGTTCATCTATCTGTTAAAAAAAAAATAAAAAGTCAAACCAGAAAAATAATACCGGTAAAAATCAGATAATCACAAATTTATCATTTTCAATTTATAATAAAATATCTATTTCTACTCATTTAAACCATTATTTAGATGTGTAAGTAGAACTGTTTTGTTCTGTCTTCTTACTGTTTGTAAAGATAAATACGGAGATATATAGCCCAATCCATCTCTAGCAAATTCTTTAGTAATAAAGGAACAGTTCCAATCAGAAGTGATTCTGTGAATTTCCTACATAGAACAACAGCTCAGACTAAACATAATGGTGAACTGCCAACCCCTTGAATGCTATCTCAGACAAGAAGCAATTTTAAAAATCCAGCTCACTATGATCGGCCCTACAAGGAACAAGCTTTTTAATTAGCAGCTAATTCAATACACTGAAGAGTACAGTGCTCGAATGAATAAGGAAAATGCAAATAAATTTAAACATAGAAAAGTTAAAAGACACTGTACTAGCGAGAGAGTGAGAAACAGAACATGGAAATGGGAAAGAAATAGTAAGGGTATCACATATAGGGAAGAAAACCTCCAGAAATAACTGCTAAAGATGCATACACATTCCCTCCAAGATCTGAACTCTGTTCCCAAAGCAGACTTGTCCAAAACTTGCAGCCTCTTGCCCTCTGCATTCTTGATATAGTAAGTTTTAGTGTGGTATCACTCTATTTTGGCCAGTTTTCTCTTGTCTAAATTCCAGGTATTTAGTACTCCAGGGATTATTGTTTCATTGTGTAGTTTTATGCATTCATCTGCTTGTATTGCTGATATTGTAAGGCTGAAAAATGAATGGTTATGGATAGAAAAGGAAAGAAGGAAAGGGAAAAGAACTAAAATTTCATTTTAGTGTCATACCTCACGAGCATCCACTGCTGCATACATAATATCCATCCAACCTTTAAAAGTTGCCTGAAAAAAAAAATATTAATTTTTGTATATTTCCCGCTTATTGAAAAAGCAGTACAAGAGTCAGCCTAACTAGCAAATATATCCTCAAAGTGTGAAAACGATTTCTAAGAAAACAGCAGACAATTCCTTCCTGCAATTTTTAGCAGCTCTGCAGAATCATGGAACTCTTTGGAGAATATACAGCAATGAACTTCATTTAGAAAAGATAGAGGGTTAACAACCACTTTTAAAAATGTCTTTCTCTGTTTCTTGTGGTACTAGGGAGATCAAAAAATTAGCATCCCAGTACTTTGTGACTGAAAAATGATGTGAAGAAAATATAGAAATATAAACTGCATTGTGCTTTTTCTTTCTTATCCACTCTGAACTTTTACTAAAGAATAGAGTAACTTTACTAAAGAAGAGAGTAACTTTAAATCCCGTACCATGCAGACTATTTCAGGTTTGGTGTGTTAATCAAAATAAAAACAAAATTGAAAAGCCATGTAGCACAGTGCTTGATTTTAACACAAGGTTTCTTACATGTTCTTTAGGAAGAATTGAGCAGTTTATAAATAAAAAAAATATTTATGGATGTTAAAATCCCCCAATTTCAGTGAGATAAACAGAAGTGAAGTGGTATCACATGGTTGGGCTGCTGAACTCATTTCCTTGAAGAAAACAAAACTGAGCATGTTTTTATAGAACTTACCACTTGGAGGAGAGCCAAGTATCCCATCCCAACATTATCAAAGTTTACATCACTATTTGTCCATGTTCCGTTAAAGTGAGTACAATTATCTTTGTTATGAACTAAAGTGATATTTCCTTCTGTGAGTGTGCATTTCCAAAATTTTTTTCCAAGTAATTTTACTCCTGCAATGTTAAATAGGAGCCAGAAGACAACACAGACGAGCAAAACGTTCAAGATTGAGGGGATGGCTCCCAAGAGTGCATTCACAACAACCTTAAATAAATAAAATGAATGAAAAGAATGAATTATTTACATTCAGTAGAACACCTTCTTAGAAAACCACTTATGTTTTCTTCTTCTGTTTCTACTGCAGATTCTCACCCGTATAAAAACTAGTAGGTGAGAAACATAAAGCTGGCTTTCAGCTCAACTTCAAGCTTGTCTTTAACATGTAATTCTACATTATCTATCTTGCCTTTTTGAGGAAGCAAGTAAACCAGATGGCAATCAGAATTACCTTTGGGTAAAACAAATACATAAGATTCTGAGTCTGTAGTAGCTAAGGTATCTAAAAGTCAGGTACAGGGGAATGGGTTCACAGAATCACAGAATTATTGGGGTTGGACGGGACCTCTGGAGATCACCTAGTCCAACTTCCCTGCCAAGGCAGGACCACCTAGAGCAAGTTACACAGGAACGTATCCAAGTGGGCTTTGAATGTCTCCAGAGAGGGAGACTCTACAACCCTCCTAGGCAGTCTGTTCCAGTGCTCTGCCACCCTCAACGTAAAGAAGTTCTTCCTCATGTTGGACTGAAACTTCTTGTGTTTTAGTTTATGGCCGTTGCTCCTTGTCCTGTCACTGAGCACCGCTGAAGAGAGTCTGACACCATCCTCCTGGCACCCACCTTTGAGATATTTATATGCATTAATGAGATCTCTTCTCAGTCTTATCCAGACTAAACATGCCCAGCTCCTGCAATCTCTCCTCGCAAGAGAGTTGCTCCAGACCCCTAAACATCCTTGTGGCCCTCTGCTGGACCCTCTCTGGTAGTTCCTTGACTTTCTTGTACTGAGGAGCCCAGAACTGGACACAGTACTCTAGATGTGTCCTCACCAGGGTCAAGTACAGGGGTAGGATCACCTCCCTCGACCTGCTGGCCACACCCCAGGATGCTATTGGCCCTCCTGGCCACAAGGACACACTGCCAGCTCATAGTCAATTTACCATCCACCAATATTCTCAGGTCCTTCTCAACTGAACTGCTCTCTAGCAGGTCAGCCTCCAACCTGTACTGGTACTTGGAGTTCTCCCTCCCCAGGTGCACTGCCTTACATTTGCCCTTGTTGAACCTCATTAGGTTTCTCTCTGGCCACTTCTCCAGCCTATCAAGGACCTGCTGAATGGCAACACAGCTTTCAGGTGCGTCACCTATTCCCCCCAGCTTCATATGATCAAGAAGCTTGCTGAGGGTACACTCTAGCCTATTATTTACCATAATATCATAGATAACCCTTTCTTTTATCTTGGAGGCCATTTACAAGAGAACAACTTGCTCTGCATAACAAAATATCCCTCACCCAATAACCACTGGCAACTGCACACAGTACATAAAGCAGAAAGTTGTTTTGGTCAGCAGTCTTCCTTCATTTAGACTTGCTTGAGAACAAGGAAAATGCAAACCCATGGTAAGCAGTAAGCCTCTTCCAGAAATGGTACCAGTGAAAATGGGATTACAGCTTTTGGAGCTTGTGGTGGTGACATTAAGGGACCTGACACAAGCAGTGATAAGAACATGTAGTCGTGAATCCAGCACGTTAATGCTGAAAGGCAGGACCATGATTGTTGCCAGGTGGGAATTTGAGGACTATTATCTATTTTTTTTCACCATTCTTCAGCACTCTGTGAAGATCCCAACAATCTTTGCACATTGAACCTTGCAGTTCAGCCAATCCAAACCAGATATAACCAATATTTGAGACCACAATGGCTCTTCTCTCCCTCAGCCTTCTCATCATAGAAGACAATCAGGTTTGAGAGGCAAAAATTTCCCTTCCTAAAACCATGCTGGCTGTTTCTAAATAATTCCTTCTTGTCCTTAATGGCCTTTATCCCCACTGACTTTGAGATTCAGTTCACTTAGAGCAGCTTTTAAAATTGAGATAGAACAATCTCCTATTAAGAAAATCCCACACTTTAAGTTTGAAAGGATTGTTATCTTTCAGACCCACCCTGGAGAATCTGAAATGTGGCAGATGAGCCTGTCTAGATAACTACCAAGATGAAACTGGAAACAAGGAAAGATGTTCCAGTGTTCACATTACTATACAAAATGATTCCTTGCGGTAGCACATTGTAATTCGATTTCCTTATTTCATTTGTACTTATAAATTTCTGTGAAAGTGTTCGGTATTATTTCAGAATAACAGCCATAAATATAAGAAGACAATCTGAACCATCTTAATGCCATCAAGTCCCAAAACAGAGATTCAAGGTGTAATTTTCAGAAAATCTTCAAATGCAGCTATTAGAGAATATGCACACACACACCCCCAAAATCCTTACCTTTATCCCTTCAAATCTTGACAAAGCTCGGAGAGGTCTCAATGCTCTCAAAGTCCTGAGAGATTTCAGGGCGGTCCCAGAGGAACAAAGTGATGAGTCAGAAGCAGTATTCATTCCCCAGGAAACAAATGACAGCTGTGTTCATTGAATTGAAACTGATATTATTAAATTATATACAAAAATTTATTTTATTTGTGTCAGCATACAATCACAACCTGAATGGACCAGTATCTTTGACCACTAAGTCAAATGAAGAAAATATACATTCAAAGCTATCATAGGATAATTTTACTTTGGTATTTCCTAATATTTTAAAAATAATGGGATAATTCCATTCTAATTTGAAACACTCCTTTTTGGGTTTTTTTTTCTTCTAAAAACAGTTCCTGTATTTTTTTCAGAATGCTAGTATAACAACCAAATTGGTAACTATGGTAATTTCATACACTACAAGACCAGAAAGGATTGTCCAAATCAAATATTCCCGTTTTCTACATAGTTATTCTCAGAAGTGTATACAGTAATTCCTTATCAAAACTTAAGACGGTGGTGTGGAAATAAAAAATATTTCTAAAAATATAACCAATCTTTATTTTATTTTTTGGAAGAGAAAAAATGAACTGAAAACATTAGAAAATAGTTTCATTATTGTTTCAATAGTTAGGGGTTTTTTTTACTGTTCATGATTTGCCTCTTCCTTCTTATTTGAATTTGTTGTCTCATTGTCTAACCATTGGATATTTCCACACCTTTCCTCCATTGTGGACAGCACTGCTATTAATACTACAGAAATGTAATTGCTAAAAGTCACGCTATATATTCTTCATAAATAATCATGATATTAGATTTTTCTGTTGAAATTTCCTAGTACTTTACAACTTTCAATGCTAACTATTCAGAGGCTATCAAACAGCTACTTTGATGTTACCAGAAGTCAGCTGCTTAGATGTCCTTATTTTAGAATATTTAATTTCAGTATCTTCACAGTGTACTGTTGCCATATAAAACTGAAAAATATTTCAGTTTTGTATGGCAAGATTATGTTATTTAACTTTAAATTCAGAATAATTACGTATATATCCAACACTCCAATACCTCCACCTCGGTATTGATGATTTTAGCATTTCTCTTTACAGCTATAAAAACGATTGCTAGCACTTCTTTGATTGCAAAGCAAAACATATTTTCCTATGTCTTTAACTCACTGGTTAATTATTTTTCCAACAATACTTTTCAACTGCTTATGCCATCCAAATTTCTTCTCCTTTTAAGAAGCAACTCTGCTTTTTTCTGGTTTTAAATACCAGAGCTCTCAACAACTTTACATTTTTCTATTGTCTTAATTAAATTTATTACACGTTTATTTCTGATTGCTAATTGCACTCTCTCTCTCTCCACTTACATGTTTTTATAACCAACATTTTTTTGAGGACCACAATTTATGGTCTTCTATGACAGTGACACTAAATAAAATTTTCTTAATCAACTTCTGATTATTACTTAAAACTTCCATTTAAATCTGTCCTAACATTTCCTTTGATTGTAATTTTTTCCAGCTTTTGGAAACTGTCTTTTAGATTTGTGTTTATTCAAAACCAGTTTTTACATGCAGTTCTTCATATAAAAAATATCAAAATTCAATATGTAAGACAAGCTGAATATAGTACTTACACATACAATGATGAAGTCTAGCCAACACCAGGCATTTGTGAAATAACTGTGCAAACCATAAGCTACCCATTTCAGAAGTATCTCCATAAAAAAGATGTAGGCAAATATTTTATCAGCATACTCTAGGAGCATTTTCACTTTTTGTCTCTCCTGCAGATGAATATCTTCAAATGCCTGGAATTTCAGAATTCAGTTTTAAAACTGTTCATTAGTTTTATGGAATTTTTTTTAAATTCCACAGGAATACACAGTTTGGCTTATTATGACCATTTTATATTAAATTATGGGCAATCACCACTTAGTTGTATGCTTAGAAATAAAAACCCATATTGTAAAGTAAGTACAAACTCATTTTCAGATTGGTTGAAAAATCACACACTTTCAGATGTTTATACTCAACTCTTCTTCAAAAAATTATCTCATGAGGGTCAATTGTGGCTACCAAAAATCTTAGCTTCCTAAATTAGTGGATAATTTTGAAGGTATTAGTCTAAAATTCTTCACAATAAAGCTTGAATTAAACACATTAACCACTGTCTTTCAGACTTAGATCTTCCAAATGTGTCATCTTTAGTCAGCCTGCAGAGCTGTTATAAGGATATGAAAAAATATGACAAGCACTTTACCTGGAACTGTTAATTCTCAGAGTTTCACAATTTTTCACCTAAATCTTGACGTTATTTTGATGTCAGTAAGGGTTTTGGAAAATGCTTTATTGATTGCTGTAGTTTACATCATTGTTTGCTTGTGTTTAATATATTTGTTGCCTTGCTAATTTATTTTAAGGTTTTGATACTGCCATTCTATTCTCAATTCCTTTTAGCACCTTGCGTTGCTTCCTCACCAAGCCTCCAGCAATGTCTTCATTCTTCCTTTCGTACATTTCTCCCCCACCTTATAGCTCCTATTCCATTCAATTTCTCTTTTGCTTCCCGCATTTCTCATGATATATCCATCCACTTTCACTACCACCATTTCCCCCATGTCTGTCATTACTTTTACTTAAAATTTTTTGTTACGTAGACAGATCAGAAGCCACGATGTACCACACCTTTTCTGACCCTTTACTATCCCTAGATAAAAATTACTCAATCTCCTCTTGTCTTATTTTTCACACTCTGTCTCAAGAGCTGAAAGTGCCTCTAAAGCACATCAGGGCATTTAACAACTTGCCTTTCTTTAATCCATATTCAAATCTGTGCCCCCTTCTCTGAAAGTGCCTCTGCAGCTGCTAACTTTGTCTTCTTTCTTGCCATGAGACAAGTAAAAAAGTTGAAATGAGAAGTTTAAGAGTCTGTCTGTCTTCTCAGGAGGAATACACTATCTCACATCCTTGGGATGTCAGACCACATCTTTATTTATAGAAGAGCAAATGAAGTGTAGAAAGATCAATTAATCTGCCCAAAGTCACATGGCTGTAGTCTGTGTCAAAGAACAGGAACCAAACAGAGGGTGTCAAAACTTTAATCCACATCCAGTTTCAATCTACATCAGCTCTTCGCTTAACAGGTCCTTACCTGACTGAAATCTCTTATTCTGCTGCTATTTTTTTAATAAGATCGTGAATAGATAGCACCCTTTAAGGAAACAGTGGGCTGTGTTACATGACCCAGATGGTCCATAGACCTTCAGTTCAGGGGAGCACGGCAGCAAAGAAAACTCAATGGTTTTGCAAGCATTAGCTCAGCTATAGTGGCCCTTAACAGTTATAAGTTATCATCAGTGATATTAAACCATTACATGCTTCTAGCCAGAACACCTGAGTGTCCCTGTTATGTGTCTCCAATGCTCTGGGACAAGATGATTATTTAGGTATTGTAGCAGATCTGATTTGCTCCCCTGTATTTATGAAATGCTAAACCCAGTCTAAAAGGCCATCAGTAAGGGGAAGCAGGATCATAACCAGGTGTCTAGATCAAGTGAGACCTGAAACAATAAACTCCTGTAAAATCATTGATGTGTTTCCATTTTACATTCCCACCAAAAAAAGTACGGGCCACAGCTGTTCCTATGTATAGTTACCAACAAGCTGGTAGAACTTAGACACTCCTGCTCCACAGTGTAATGAAACAGTAATACCTCTTCTGGAGTTAAGTGGCCTTTAAAGCAGTGGTCAGTCGATTGTGCTACAGTTAGGAGAAATGTCTACAGAGCAGAGCTGTCACTGTATCCACAGGACTACTAATTTGGTTGTGGGTAATTGAGAGCTCCTGATATTCATGTACATAAGCCTATTTACCATTTTCTACCTTTTTTCTGATAACTAATATCGTGTTTTTCACCTTGACTACCTTGATTTCTATCTTCTAGTCAAATCATCCATTATTTAGGAGTGATGCTCTTTCAAACTCGTAACTTCCTTTGCTCTGAGCACTGAGCATTCTGCACATACTTTTCTATGCATTCTTTCTATGATCACTACCTCATTTGATTTACTTTCAAGCATGGACATGACTGATGGTATGGTGCTCCTTCATTCTAGTGATTCAGGAAATTCTATATCAGCAAAAAACTTTAAAAATAAACAGAAAATGGACAAGTCCCTTTTTGCAAGAGGACAACAGTATTTTAGGAATGTGAAAGTTCTTAACACTACAATGTATCTTCTATGAAAAGGAATTGCTATCGTTTTGTTATTTTGTGTTTGGATACCAAATAGCTTTGTGTTCAACTTAGTCACATCCTACAGTACATAAAATAATAACTCAGTTTCCTTCCTTACTTCAGTTTGGTTCCGTGTGAGTACAGAGGAGCTCTCATGGGAGACCCAGGGATTTCCCTTGGAGATTTTGCTACAGAAATTTTCAATCAAATGGTTCAAATCTATGGTTCAGTGGACAACCTAAACTTAATGCACACAGAACAGATTTTACTTGGAAAATTCTCTAATCCACCATATAGATCACTTACACAATAGTTGTTTATGTTCCTTTTGCACTATATAATGTTTAATTTAACAAATTATTTTCAGTAGACTTAGTGAATGTGCTTTCAAATCAGATAAAACCTCCATTATTCTTCAGTAAAAATGGATATAATCAGAGAGCAATGAAACATTAAGCCACCTACCACTTTACAGCCATCTTCATGATTCTGACCATCTTAATGTTTGGATTATTTTAAATCTAATTTACAAATTTACAAACTTTTACAAATTTACAAATTTACAAGTTTACAGATTTATAAACTTTACAGATTTAGAATTACTTGTATTTTTTTAAGCTTTCCTAATAAATTTCACTCCCTGGTTTAGCCTCCTAGTTAAGCACACAAGTGTGCAAGGAATCATGTTCCATGAATAGTGTGGATAAGGCTCTTAGTGACATAGTTTAGTGATGGTCTTGCAGTTCTGGGGTAATGGTTGGACTTAAAGGTCTTTTCCAACTTAGCTGATTCTATGAAGAACTATGGAGAAGACTATGATTCTGTATATTTAAATATCTTGTCCAAGTTGGGGAGACCTTATAACTTCTAAAGGACATGTTTATAATACTCTTGTCTCTCCTTGTGAGAGTAAAAGAATTAAATATAATGATATAATTTGCCTTTACTGACAACCATCTATTAAATATCTGAGAAATTAAATTAAATTTACCAGTGCTGCGCTGCTCAATATTATCATAAAAATTATAAAAAGTTCAAACCAGCTATGTTTAACAATTTTGCAGCAGGTTTTTCTAAAATTCCACCAAGTTCTGCCTGGAAACTTAGTGGTATCCACTGCACAACACGGGACACATTCAATACAACCTGAAACAGAAAGAAGAGCATATTGGTCCTGTGGAAAATATAGAGACATGGGATATTAAAAAAAAAATAAAAATGAGCTTCTACAGCCTATAGACACCTATTCATTTGGTGTCACCACAATACATAAAAGATTCTTACTTTCTGTAAAACAGTCCTTAGGTAGGTATGACTTCTTAGGCTGAGAAAAGGTCTCCAGCAGAATAACTGGATCCGCAGTGCTGGCTTCAGAATAGCTACCACCATCATATTTCTGCACAGGAGGGTAAAGAGGAGGATTCATTTGCTTTTCATTAATAAGGTTACCAGATTTAAATAAATTAACTTATCACACCCCCACACTTCCCCTCCACACACACAAAAAAAAATTAACAAAAAACTGCACCCTATAAATTATCCCAATGATCTTAATGTTGCTGAACTACCAAAATAAAATTACAAATAATAGGACAGAAAAGGTTAATCACTCCTCTCTGTTTCCATGGCTTTAATTTAATAAAGTATCTTCTAGTCATCTACACTGGACTTGCAGGAAGGAAAATATCTAGAAGACATTATATTATGCTACAGCTTTACTTCAGAGAAAACTCTGATTTCTTCATGACTATCCAATTCTTTTTTCATTTTCAGAGACACAAACCATGTCTCAAAAGGCTTGAAGACGGGAAGGCCTAGCAGGAAAGAGATGTATGTGTGGTCTACACACCTCAAAGAATTATTGTTACTGGTAGATAAACTACACACCTATAAAACTAAAGACAATAAGCAAAATAACTATGAAGAAAAAGGAATAAAGCAATCTATCAGCCATAAAGTATGAGTGCCCTGTATGAGATGGAAAGGGAAGGCAGGAGGATAGGGATAAGAATGAGAAGCCAGAAGAAGGGAGAACTGCTGCTGTTGACAGCCATGCTGTTCTACACTAACTTAAGGTCCTAGGGAATCATAGACAAAAATGTAATTACTTAAATTCATGAGCATTTTAATATTTTTAATATAAATATAATTAATATATAAAATAAAATAATGTATAACAAGTAAAACTTCTGCCCACTTTTTCTAAAACCAAAAAATACTAAAGTGGATTGACATTTGGAGGTAGTAATACAGAAAGTTGCTGGATCATTGGAGTCAAGCCATAATTCTTCACCTTTCTTAATGTGGAGCTGTTGTATTAGAATAAACTAAGCTTCGAGACCAGAAAAACTATGTCTTTTTGGGGAACAGTTTCTAGAGAAAAAATTTTTGCATGCAAGGCTGACAGCAAACAGAATTATCTGTAAAAATGAATAGTATGTAACACATATTTAAAGCAAGTGTGTTTCTTGATTAATTTCTGTTTACTTATTTTGTACAAAATAATATGCTAAATTACATTGTCAGCCATGGCCGTTTCTGAGAGACAAACCTCCATGCTTTAAACTGTTATTGCCTCTAGAAAACCCCAGCTTAACCTGTCATTGCTGAACGGGAGAACCACTGTGACAATTTTTCTCTCTAGCATATTCTGCAAGGTGATAAAATTTATAATTACCTCTTTTTGCTCTTTCTTTTGGTGTGTTTCTGGAAAACAACTTAAAGTTTCAGAAGTCCCAGAAGTCTGACTGAAGCTACTCGAATTCCGGCACTTCTCTCTACGTCTTAACCTGTCTCCCTGCATAAAATAATGCAAAACAGTTCACTTTCCACATTTTTCTTCCTGACAGTCATTCTTAAAAGTAAAAAATCTTTAATAGAATCTAAAGCATAAATCTAAAGAATCTAAAGACAAAATTCAGCATGTTTGTCTTTTTACAGATAATTAAATTATATCCATAAAGGCATGTAAAAGAATGGTTTCTTCAATTTCAAATACTGTGTTCCTGTACTTATACTGTGGAAATGTACCATTCCTCAAGATCTACATTGATGTATTGATGTATTCCTGTATCCAAATCACTAAGTTTAGATGGACTGGCTCAGCAGTAACCTTTTCAGCTGGACCCCAAGAATCTCCTCATCTTTCTAGTTACACAGAGAAGAGCTAAGTGATCCCAACCAGCTCTCAGTCAGTCCTGTGCTGGTTTTGGCTGGGGTAGAGTTAATTTTCTTCACAGTAACTACTACGGGGCTGTGTTTGGAATTTGTGCTGGAAACACTGCTAATAACACAGGGATTTGTTCATTATTGCTGAGCAGTTACTATACAGAGTCAAAGATCTTTTCTGCTCCTCACTCCACCAGCAAGGATGCCGGGGGTGCACAAAGAGTTGGGAGTGGACACAGCTGGGACAGCTGACCCCAACTGACCCAAGGAATATTCCATAGCATATAGCACAATGCTCAGCTTATAAAGCTGGGGAAGAAGAAGGAGAAAGGGGGGATATTTGGAGTGATGGTGTTTGTCTTCCCTGCTCTCCTGGAGATGGCTGAACATCCACCTGCTGCTAGGAAGTGGTGAATGAATTCCTTGTTTTGCTTTGCCTGTGTGGCTGGCTTTTGCTTTACCTATTAAACTGTATTTGTCTCAATCTATTAGTTTTCTCACATTCTTTCATCCAAGCAGAGGGGGAGTGAGTGAGTGGCTGTGTGGTGCTTAGTTGCTGTCTGGGGTTAAACCACAACAGGTTAATAATTTTTTGTTCACCTTCTGACAAAAGATTGTAGGGAAGGTATACTGAAGTCTGCTACTTCTTATTACAACTGCCTGTGAATAAGGCAGGCTTCTGAAAGAAATTAGCTAGAGGTCCTTTTTTGCTAATCTGAGCTGAAACTACTATTGGGTGTTTCATACACAGCTGCAGTACTGTCAGTGGGCTAAAAGGTATCACCCTTACCGTCTACAGGCAAACATATTTACACAGGAATAAGAATCTCAGAGGATGACCCAATGATTTTGAACTAAAATGTATTCATGCATGTTTAGTGCCTTTTAAGATACCTGGGTGATATCTAAGACATACACATGGCACGTTAAATAGAATACAGGATCTACAGAAACTGACAGTCACCTTTTTGGAGATTCATTTAGAAGCTGTATGACCCAACCTAGCACCTCAAAATGCACTTGACATCTATAAGGCAAGTAGCATGTGGAATCTTGAAATTCAGGTATCTAAATGGAGTAATCTAATTGTGGCTGATAACTAGTGTCATCTGAGGTGTTTCTACACATCCCTGGCCTCCAGATGCCAATGAAAGTTCCTATAGCTTCTGTATCTTATTTGTCAGTCCCACGTGGGTGTGACAGACACCTCAAGTATCTCAAATATTTCTAAATGCCTGCATACAGGCAAATGAATTGCACTGTTTTATCATGGCAATATAAACACTTGAGCTTTTACCTGCCCGACACAAAAAAACAGAGATATAAAGAGGAGTCCAAAGTATCATAGAAGTGAATAGGCAATTAATAAAAAATTAAGAAATTAATTTTTTAAGGTGAAGCTTTTATTTGCTTTGCCTCTGGACTCTATGCAACTGCGAAGCAACATAAAAATAATACGAGAGTACTGTCCTCCAAAAATTCCAGGTGCCATCTCTAAGGCAAAGGAGACTGTCTGTCTTGATCAAACTTCATTTAGCAATTGACAACCATAAATGGAAGCAAAACAGGCAAAAGCAGAATGATGGCTATCAATGAGGAGAATGATGGAAAAGTGAATATTCCACATCTCTCATTAAATAACTAAAACTATTTTGGTCTATTTTGCAGCTATTAGAAGAACAAAGAAAGTAAAATGACAGAAATGACAGAAGGGATAACATTTACAGTTGAGCCTTCAAGATCATACTTATAGATGCAAGTAACAATAATTTTTCAAATATTAATATTCCCTACCTGGTTTTTGTATTCTATTTCTGTGCATACACTGTGCTCATCACCACCTTCATCCATGTAAGTCTCTGCTACTGCAATGGGAACACAGGTACTATGACTGGTTAAAAATTCTTCGTCTTTCCTTGTCACTGAGCAATTCTCTTCAGTATTGTAATATCTCATGTCAAAGCAGATGTTGTCCATATCCTTTCTGACATCTGTCATGGCATAGTCATTTTCCTCTATGTCTTTGGCAGAAATTTTCACTAAAGTCTTCTTTTTGGTTGTTGTTTTGAGGCTTCTTTTCATTATTTTGCCACAATGACCCAAAATTCTGTCTTTCACAGACCGCAGGCCCTTGTGAATCTGCACAATGGTAATCTGACTTTTGGTCATTTGTCCAGGTTCCTCTTGTTCCATTGAGGAGTCAGTATTGAACGAATTCAGCAGCAAGGCAATGAATAGGTTGAGCACCTTAAAATAGTTAAAGTAAGTTGGAGACGCTACTGCTAACAGAAAAGGCATTTCAGAAAACCTTCCTTAGATAAAAAAATCTCAGTCTTGCTTTCATCAACCACTGCAATGAAATCATTTACTATTATACTGAAATATTAATATAGTATAATATGGCTCCTTCTGGAAGGAAGGGCAAGAACAAAAAGAAGGACATGAGGGTTTGGGTCTAGCAAATATATTTTCACGTGGTCTGATGTCCATAATGTCTACAAGGAGGTAGAAAAACAGCAAGCAAAGATAAATTTTTGTAACACCACCATCAAAAAGGATCTGGTATGCACCAACAAATCCAGCAGATGAAAAAGATTTTGTCTTCCAGTATATATACACTAGCTCCAGTATATGGCACACAAGCCAGAAAATCTGGGGTCTTTAAACTTTAGACAATATAAGGATAAATTGGTAAGCATTAAAAGCACCGAATAATTTGGTTATTTGATCCTAGTAACACAAAAGATGAAAAAATCAGAGACCAAATCATAAAAGCACTGCACTTCTATACTCTGGGTAGAATAAACAATTTTATTTTGCTTAACGGCTACCTCTTGTGTGAGAAAGAGAAAGACAGGGGAAAAAGAAAAAAAATCAGAAGAAAAACTTATATTAAGTAACATACAGAAAAAAGAATACTGTGAATACTCTTCAAATAATAAAGTTTGCGTTGGAAAAAAAGATGCTGGTTTAATTGGATGCATTCAGAATGGACTGAAAAATAGCTTGAAACTCACCACCAGGTTTCCTATGACCAGGACTAGCAAGAAAATGGGAAGACATAGCCCTTTTCCAGCCACTTCCATACATTCCCACATGGTTTCAATCCATTCTCCACATAATATTCGGAATATGATCAGGAATGAATGACAAAAATCCTCCATATGCCAGCGTAACTGCTTATCAGTGCTTATTTTTAAAGCATGTTTTCTATAGTAAGTGCCTAAAACCTGCTTTCCTACTACAGCAAAAATAAATACAGTGATAATCAAAACCAGAGTGAGGTTACCCAGAGCACCAACTGAGTTTAGAATTATTTTCATAAGAGTATTTAAGGCTGGCCAGAACTTTGCCAATTTGAAGATCCTGAGCTGTAAGTAAAACACAAGAGAACAAGGTGAGTGGCAAACACTGCATAGATAGCATAGCACAAATAAAAACCAGACCCTGCATTTATCATGCTGGCTTTACTTCAGGAACACCACCATAACTTTTCCCCCAAACAAAGGTTTGTATTTGTTCCAATGCAAAACACTGCGCTTCAGCTCAGATAGTTAATTTTACTAAGAACAGACAACTGCCAAAGGAAGCTCTCAAATTGTTTGAGCTAAGTTATATAGGAGCACCTGTAAGTCTATTAGTATTAATAGCAATAATGATAATAGCAATATTATTCAAGTGGCTAATAGGTATTTGGATGAGGCTTAAGAAATGACTGCATTTTGGACTAAATCAAAAGTATCAGAAAAATTGAAAAAATATCTTTTTCTACCTTTTACACAACTGACTTAAAACTGATCTGAAAAGCCAGTTGGGATCTATTCTATGCATTCTTATGAGTAAAAAGGACACTTCTAGTTACATTAGCATTAGGGCTGCTTCAATCTTTCAGTCATTATACACAAGATGAAACAGAATTCAACTGAATTTCTAGAGTGATGGCTCTGCAAAGCTATGAAGAATGTTATAAATATTTAGGAAATATAGCACTCTAAATACATATTAAGGATGCAAACAAAAACATATCATTATACATAGACATCTCAGACATACTCCTCCTGTTCCCTAACATGGAAGAAAGCCTTGAGAAGACCTCAAGGCCAAGATCTAAGCCTTGAGGAAAGCTATGTTATTTTATAAATCTCAACTCAAAAGGAAAAGCTGTGAGGGAACCTTTGCTATCCCTAAGCTCAGATAATACCTTTTCCTAATTGAAGATCTGAAATGTAGATGAGCAGTGCCACTGTACAGACCTAACAGAAAGCCAGTGAACTCTCTGCTATGTCAAATCTTCAAAGGAGCACACTGTGCCACAGGACAGGCTGAGAAAGTGGGGCTGTTCAGCCTGGAGAAAAGAAGGCTGCGTGGAGACCTCGTAGCAGCCTTCCAGTGTCTGAAGGGGGTCTATAAGGATGCTGGGGAGGGACTCTTCATTAGGGACTGTAGCGGTAGGACAAGGGGTAATGGCTTCAAATTTAGACAGGGGAAGTTTAGACTAGATATGAGGAAGAAATTCTTTACAGTGAGGGTGGTGAGGCACTGGAATGGGTTGCCCAAGGAAGTTGTGAATGCTCCATCCCTGGCGGTGTTCAAGGCCAGGTTGGATAAAGCCTTGGGCGACATGATTTAGTGTGTGGTGTCCCTGCTCATGGCAGGGAGGTTGGAACTAGATGATCTTAAGGTCCTTTCCAACCCAAACCATTCTATGATTCTATAATTCTATGATTTGTAGTATGCAACATACACAGTATAATAATCATACTGAATGTATTTGTTAATATTCATTTAATATCCACTTTCATTAAATATTCACAGTGGCTTGCTATTTACTAACAAAGAGAAGTAATATAACAGTCTCATCAGTAAAATAATTTGAGGGCATTTCACTGTAATCTTTCACAAATCTACATAACATATATGTAAAAAAAGAATAAAGAAATAATTACCAGCCTGAAATATGACAGATTTTCTTTAAAGCTTATTAGGTCAGTCATAACAACTATGCTATCAAAAATATTCCACTTTCGCTGAAAGTAGTTGTAAGGATCAAGAGCAATGATTTTCAAGATCATCTCTGCAGTAAAAATCAGGGTGAAGACCTGGAAAGAGGAAAAAGAAATCCAGCAAAAAGTCACTGAAAAAGTATGTTTCCTTATGGGATTTTCCAAATATAAATATGGGGTCATGCCTTCATATTCACTCTAAGATAGACCTAACTTACCCGGTCAATTCTAGAAATTATTTTTTGGTAATCAGAGTTCACGCCAGGCTGCTCCAAAGCCATGAATAAGGTATTCACGATAATACAAAACATGATCAAGAGATCAGCAGATGGATCCAAAATTACCAATTTCACCTTCTCTTTGACTGCTCTCCAGAATGGACAACAATTCCAAATTAGACACTTTTGAGCAAGATGTTTCCATTGAGAAGGGCATTTAATTTTTGACTTCTGCATTTCTAAATGACAAAGAGGTAAGTGACATACAGATAATCTTATGTGGAATATTACAGCATAAAGAAAAAGACAATCATTCACCGAAATGTTTGAAAAGAAAAATCATGTGAGCAAAATGGCATCATTGGAAGAAAAACAGTTTCACTCATTCTACACAAACAAATTATAGGCTCTTTGAAGGTCACTATCAACAAATCTCATAATTAAAGAAACAGGTGATATTACCCACCTCTTCATACATTTATTATATTATTGAAGGATGATAAAGGATCTGTATTAAGGAGAAATTACTGTCTTTGGAAACTGTCAGTTTTTCTGTGAGTTGCATCTATGCAGTCACAGATGCAGCATGGGTTGAAGAAAAGTCCAGGATAAAATGAAGAAGGGTGTTCCCCATATCTTGATGTCCCATTGTTGAGGATATGCTTATATGATAAGTTAGAAGGGACCTCAGATCTCTAGTGCAACCCCCTTCTCAATGCAGGGTCAGCTATGAAGGCAGAGACGCATAAGTCGTTCCTCTGCCATGGTGAAAGCTTCCACTTAGAGTTTTAAACTCTCTTCTTTCAATTCATGTCTGTTCCTTCATTTTCGACTGTGCACCATTGTGAAGAGCCTGGCTTCATCTTCTTAAGAATGTCTTCCTACACACTGGAAGGCTGATATTAACTTCCCCTCAAAGCTTTCTCTCTGGGCTGAACCAGCCCAGCACTGGGCAACTGCTTCAGTGCCTGGCTTGGCAGCCCTCTACTGAACTGAATGCATTTCTTGTACTGGGGAGATTGAGGGGCAAACTGGGCATAGTATGTGGTCTAACAAGTGCTTAATAAAGGGCAATAATCACTTTTCCCCACTATACTCCTTTTAATAAAGTCTAGGATACTGTTAGCTATTGCTGCTGAAAGGGCATGTTGCATGCTCAGCTCACTGCCCACAAGGACCCAGAGGGCCTTTTCTGTAGAGCTGCTTCCCAGCCAGCCAGCTCACAGCCTGTATTGTTGTGAAAGGTTCTTGCAGATATGTAGAAGTTTACATTTGCTCTGGTTGAATTTTCATAAGGTTCCTGTTGGCCCATTCCTCCAGCCTGTCTAAGTCCCTCCAGATGGCAGCTCTTACCTCCAGTGCATCAAGAGTTCCCCCCCAATTTGGTGTCATTTGTGAAATTCAAGATCAAGCCCTCTGTTGCCTCCTCCAGGTCACTTAGGAAAAGGTGGGTCTGAGGGCACACCCCTGTGGTACTCCACTTATTACCTGCCTCCAGGTAGAATACAGCCTATTGACCAGACACTTGAAGCCCAAACATCCAACCATTTTTTTTGGCCAGCTGGTTGCCCACCCTTGCAGATCCTTACACCCTAACTTGAAAGAAAAAGTTCTGTGCAAAACAGTGTTGTAAGCATTGCTAAAGTCAAGGTAAACAAAAATGTTGCTCTCATCCACAAACCCCATTCATTTTACTGTACAGGGCAATCAATTTGGCCAGGTACAACCTTTGGTAATTGTAAGTAACAGTTACAGATATGTGATATGAGAACATTTACTTTACTGAAATGTACATTTAATTGCAGCATAATTTGCCCTAGTGACTTTTAAAATAATGCTGTCTGTTTGTGACATTTTCATCTCTTAGTTTAAGTTACACAATCACCGTAGGAAAATCACTAAAGAATGACTTACGCAAATTACCTGAAATAACAGTGGCTGCACTCATTAACCTTTGTCTTTGAAAAGGATCGTTAACAGAGTCCACTGACAATTCATAGGACAGCAGTATCTGCCTCTGGTTAGAAAGACAACAGAAGATAATATAACAAAGGAATATGAGGAAATGGCAATTATAAATAAAATTATGTCCAGCATAAGATCAATATGGATTTTTAAATACGCATTTTTATGAAGCCTTACCTTGCTGGAAGGATGTAAAACAAAACAATACAACAATACCATGTATTTGCTTTTGAAGGTGTCGTGGTGTGTTCTACCCCCCAACCCTTTATTTCCCGACTCTGCTTAAGTGATAGCTATCAGTGGTGGTGGTAATGGATATGTCTGGGAAAGGCAAAGGACATTTCATCAAAACCAGAAATATTTTACAAGTTGTTTCCTTCTGAAAATATTTAACAACTATAATAATGCCATTATATAAGTAGTGCTGGGCTCTTGGTAACATGATAGTAAGGACTGTCCATGAGATATATGGTATTTTGCCAGAGTCAAAGGTACTGTAAAAAAATCCCAAGATTAGGAAAAGTAAGAATTTCAAGTCTTAAGAGCAGTTTCTTAATGGATTTAGAAAGGAGTGATGAGCAGGGGAGCCAGAAGTCACAGCTGTAATCAAGATGTGAAACAGCACACGTGGGATTCAGCCTGATATTCAAACATCCACATTTAATTTGTTCATGTGAACAATGCAGCTAAAATCTGCTTTATTATAATTGATGCTATATATATATATATATTTATATATGCAAGTTTGATTCACTTCAGCCTAAGCATCTGAAGCCATTTGAGACTGTCTATTTAGACATTTGGTATCTGAGACATCCACAGTCTCAGACCAAACAGACGTGACACGTCATATCTGTACCCTTCTGTAGGGTAGGTGGAGGCCAAGTAAGACACTCTAGGAAACCTCTAATGCCACTAGAGATTGATTTGTGACCCAAAAATTCAAATCTATAGTCGACTCTGGGAGTTTAGATCCTAAATCACGTGTTGACACCTGCAAACAAAAACCTGGAGCACAATCCAGTTGCCTAAATCTAGAAATTTAGTAACATTTGAGATTCCGTAATGTGTTTGAGATATCCACACAGTGCTGGAACATGTGCCACAGACACCAGAGATACCAGAATATCCAAGCTTCCCAAGAATATCTGAAATGGCACTAGATGATTATCGTTACACAAGTGAATCAGGCCCCTAACATTAGAAATCTTCATACTGAACTAAATCCAGCCCCAAATATTCAGGCCAGAGAATTAGCTGTGTGTACAAAAAAAGAGAATGGTTAGGTTGTTAGGGAAATTCTAAAACTTGCAGGATTTTATACATTTATTTATGCAGCACAATAGAGATGCCAACAGATCTTACCATAGCTCTAAGTGTAGAGGTCTATAATGCGTCATAACTATGCTACTGATGGCCACTTCAAACTTCCCTTTCAAGTCCATATAGTGCTGTCTCCCTCTGGTGCCAAAACCTAACTTTCAGATTGCTTTAAAAAACAAGTTAATCTGATGCATGCAAGAAGGGGGGGAAGAAAAAAAAAAAAAAAAAAGGAGAAAAAAAGAGGGAAAAGATTTCAAATAAAGAAAGCTTTTCTGCTCATCTAATTGTCATACCATGTGCAAGTCTAATGAATCTATCTTCTATTTCAAATACTTACAAGCTTCTTGTGGCAGTGATCAGGCTGTGCCTGAAATATATGCTCATCTTTGTCATTATGACTTAAAATTGAACTTTTTCTTAAAACAGGTTTTTCTTTCTTCATCTCTTTTTCTTCTGAATTTTTCAAGTCATCAGACATTTCAGATCTGACGTCTAAGGCCTTATTACCTTCTCCCACAGCCAACATCTGTAAAAGAATCAGCAAAAGATCTGTCTATTAATACAAGGCAAATGTCAATGCATGGACTAGGATCATATATAGTTTAATTATTATGTTATCTGAATGCTCTACACCGACGATTTCTACTTTTCAAATATTAAACTGCTATGAAAAGATAGGAGTACAAAATGCTATTTACAATACTGAAAGATAAAGGGGGGTTACTGTAATTAAAGTCTGTCTTTGCCACTTTAGATATTGTATTTTGTATCTGAATTACAGAATGCTTCGGTGTATCCTCTTACTATCCTTTTCCTGCTTTGGAAAGGACCTTGAGCCCAAAGACAACAGAAGACTAAGGGCTCAAACTAAATCTGAAAGTGTTAAACTTTTCTTAATTACTAATCCTGTTGAATGAAAAATAGACAGAAGAAAAGCCTAAGTTAAGCTTGGCAAGCTGGAATTTTGGAAAGAGAAACATTACAGGCCTGTTGACGCTGTAGAAGAGGAATTTTGCAAATGGTGATGCAGTTCATCTTAATGATGAAATTGGATAGTTGCTAGAGAATATTTGTATGTCCTCTTGCAAGTCTGACTTTTCTGATTGTTAGCAGTAAATCAGAGGTATCTTTTATAAAAATTTAGATTATAAAATATGTCTTATCAATAATTTTCATTCTATCTTGTTCCCTCAGCTCACAGCTTCATTTCTCAGAAATAGAATAAAAACAACAAGGTGATCCCTGGTCCTGTACAGGCCAAGGAATTAAAGAATCTAGGCAATACTGTGCCAAGAGGAAACACTATAGATATCTGATGTGTGTCTATAAAGTCTCCAAATGAACAGCAAAGAAATTAACACTGTTGCTGGATGTCCGTCTACATTAATATGGAACTAATGGCATTAGACTAGACAAATACTACGACTCTTCTTGTCAACTGGTAGGCCTTCTGCATGCAGTCAGTCAAAAAAAGGCATAAAGTGCCTTAAATAGCCAATCACAGTGGCTCTCAGACAGCTTGCATTTTTAATCAGTCCTGAAATCTATCAGCATCAGAACTTCCAATCTCAAGGAACTGTAGAAATGACAGTTTTTCCTATATATACAAATTTATCCACTCATACTTTGTTCATCCGACTACACAGTAAGAGCAAGAAGGAATATCCAGAGAAAGGAGTTTTTGTACAAAGCAACAGTGTTAGTGTACAAGAATAGGGTAAACCACAAAGCACCATCTGCAGTACCATGAAAGCTATATACTTGCCAGCAAGCTGTTCCTACACAATGTCAGGTCTGCAAATCCTAAAACTTAATATGATTTAACTTGGACTTATTTTGTTAGTTTGTAACACAAAAAAGTTTATATATATTTATATATACATACACATGCATTTATAAAGAGACAGAAAGACAAATGAAGTGTGAGAAAATATTTTAAGAAGCACATGTTTAATAAAACTCTTATTTCCCTAATTCACAAACAGAAGAAAACAAAAGGAACCATATATAATATATATTATCTATAATAATTTACAAACCTGTTCTTTCTCTAGAATTTCATAGGCATCCTGAAGTAATTTTTCCTTAGCCTCTATAGCTTTATTTTGCTCTTTATATGTCAAAGTTACCACAGCCAAGATCAGATTGAAGAGATAAAATGAGCATAAAAATATGACTGCCATAAAAAATAAAATGTAGCTCTTTCCAGATGTACGGATAGTCTGTGAGGAAGAGTTTAAAATAAATAAAAGTTATAATAACTTCTTAACAAACTAACATTTAAAATAGAATTTCAAACTCACTTTAAACAATTTATTTTCCTATACAAAACAAATGCTCAACATATTTCACTGTTTTCATTAAACAGTAGGATCTACCTCTGGTCTAAGTCAAATAGAAGGTGTAGAAATACATCTAGTCAGGAGTTCCCCTGGCCTTCAAGTGAATAAATTTCAGCTCTTAAAAATGTCTGTGATCACACAATGTTTTCTCTTTATGTAACAGACCACCAAACATTCATAATGATGCTATGTATTGCAGAGAAGAATTTACAAAATACATTCCTAAAATTAAATTGAATATCTCACAGCAAATTGGGCAAATGATCACCCAAGTTTAAGTTATGAGAAGACAACTTCAGCTGTAAAGAGATACACAGGTGACTACAGAAGAAACTAATAAAACTCAGTAATATGGGTGAAAACTAGGATTATCTGAATAATCATGAAAGATGCTCTGATGAGAGAATCAGAGGCAATATTCAGACTGACTGCTTATTTACATTTTCCCAGTTGATAAAGGCTGCTGTAAATAAATTAAAGTGGACCATATGAACATTACGGAACAAGGCAGAGAATAATACCTTTCTAGCAAACGCACTGCGTCGATGTAAAGGACCCAGAGAGTTCTCTACATGCAATTTTTGCACCATTTTTACCAGAAAGCAGAACTTGAAAGTTACATTCAACTCTCTGAATCAAAACATAAAGACTCCAATTTTTTTAGTATCAGTTGTCAAAAATTATTTGAAACGAGCGTGTATGTTGAGCCAAAAAGTTAAGTGGGGAGTCAGGACTTCAAAGGAAGAGAAACAGTGTGTGTAACAAGTCCTCATCTCCCCTGCAGCAGCAGTGAGTGCACTAGCCAAATGTACTATATACCCAAATCCTTTGAAGTTTTCGTATTAATATTTAACTATTACTCACTGACCCAAGTGTGTTCTCCAATGAGCATACACAGCAGGATTGCTCCTATCCAATGTCACTTGCAGAAGGTGTAACAACTTAGTCACCTGAAGATACTTCTTCAATATTTACATTGATCTTTAAAGAAATTTGTTATCAGTAATATTGAGACAGGTGCAGAATTTTCTAGTGGACATAATATTTTAAACTGCATATCTAAAGTCATTATAGCAGGTAATAAAAGTACCTACTTGTCTGTAGAGACGCTCCCAGTAATCCTGTGTCATCAGACGGAACACAGAAAGGAAGGCCCAGCCAAAATGATCAAAACTTGTATAACCAAAGTCAGGATTCTTCCCAACTGGCTTACACGTGTAGTTTTTTGGACACTCATTGCTAGCCACAAAAGAAATGTTAAGCAATACTCACTTGCAGTGTTAGATTGTACCTGAAAGCATCCAGTACACAAAATCCAATACAGATTTGTTCAGTTTATCTGAAAGTCTGTTTCATTATTCCCCAATACAATTCTGCTAGAAGGGCTGATTTATATCAGACAATCCTAGGAAGTCATTTGGTTAGTTAAACCTACTAGACACAAACTCTAGCTCTGCCTGGTTTCTGACTAGACAGAAACTCTCCACTGATAAAGGATACATTTAAACAAATAAAGAGGGGGGAAAATGGATTTTAAAAATAATTCACCAAGAGGAGGAGAGTTCATTTATATCTCACAGGTCTTTACTGATCTCTTTCCGTACTCATACATGTAATTCTACATCACCGTTCCATTACCAGTGGTTAGCAACAAAGCACATAAATAATTGCTTGCATCCTAGTACTATACTTCATTCTTTTTCTGATGTGAAATATCTGGGCTTTAATTTAATAACACACAGACATTCCACCCTCCTCATCACCATTCCTTTAGGCCAAAAAATGAAAGGAGGAAAAAATAAGGAAGTATAATAATAATAAGGAAGTATACTAAAACTGTTTTGTTCACTTACTCACGATTTGAACTGAACCCACAGAGCAATATGTCAGAAGATTTATTCATTCTGGAGCAGATATCTAATAAAAACAAATAAATAAGTAAATCAAGGAATCAAAAAATAAAAAGTTGACAGTTCTTACAGCACTCTGGCAGTAAACCTTACGTTGTTACACTTTTAAAAAAAAACACCTTGCTACACCAAATCTCTGTGAAACACTCCCTTCACAACTAAGGACACATAGGGTTGTTTCTCAGCAGATGTGTCTCTATGGCAATTAAAACAAAAATAATTACGAACAACTCACAAGGTAAGATTTTATTTGATCTCTGGTAAAAATAAAAATCTCTGTCAGAAGCAGGCAAAATCCCTGAACGATATAATTAAGTAATGGAAAAAAAAAAAAACATTCTCTGTGCAGTGCCCCTAAAATTGGGATCACTGTACAATGTACATAGGCAAAGAAGCAAATGCTTATAGACAACGCAGTCTCTTCTGTCCTACAGGCTGTTAATCTTTCTCCAAATCCAGGATCCACTAATCTTGCATTCAGTTGCCCCAGAGACTTCCTATTGCTACTTGTGCAAATGGAAGGACATACCTCCTTATGAGAAATATGTGTAACTACATTGTAACATCTTTGTTAAAGAAAAACCCAAGACATATGTAACAAAAAACACAGATTGTGAAATGAGAGAAAAGAATAAAATTTACCTTGAGTATTTGGTATGTAGATCTTAGCATCCTTACATAATGTGTCATTGTAGTCAGTATTATTGAGGACACATTTGAATGTTAAATTGCCCATAAAAAGCTGAAGGCCTACTAGGGCAAATACACTCAAGCAAAAAACAGTGAAGATCAACACATCTGCAAGTCTCTTAACAGATTCAATAAGTGAATTTACAATGACTCTCAGACCTAGAAAAGTAAGATTCAACAATATGCAAAATGAGAAGAGAAATGCTTTAGTGTTCCCATATAATAGCATACAACAGTAGCAAGTGTGTTATGGTTTTGTAACTTCAGAATATAAAATGAGGTAAAATAAATCATAGGAATGATTAATGTGCTTTTACTTAAAATGCCTAATCATAACTTATGTGTCTTTTACTTCCTTCTAACATTAATTTTGCTAACTTGAAAATTCTAAATTAAGATGGTGTCTAAGCAATCTCTTAAGAATGTTAATGAATATGGACAGATTTCTGTGCTTGATTAACATTCAACAAGTACTTCACATTGTGACAAATATACATTACGATAAAGGATAGCTTCTGCTGACCTCATGGAATTCTGTCTTAGAAGTTAATGCCTTACAGATATCACCAGTTTAAAAACAAAGGAGCATTTGTGACACTGAGAAGGGAAAATATGTAAGTCTGGGACTACCCAGCTGGAACGCAGTTTGGCAGAAAAAGACCTGGGGTTCTGGTGGACACCAAGATGAACATGAGTCAGCAATGTTGTCTTGCAACAAATGTGAATGGTATCCTGGGCTGCATTAAGCAAAGCATGGCCAGCGGGTCGAAGGAGGTGATCATTCCCCTCTGCTCAGCACTGGAGAGGTCACACCTGGAGTACTGGGTCTAGCTCTGGACTCCCCAGTACAAGAGAGACATGGACGTACTGGAGAGAGTCCAGCAAAGGGCCACAAAGATGACAAGGACTGGAGCACCTTTCCTGTGAGGAAAGGCTGAGAGAGATGGGAATGTTCAGCCTGGAGAAAGGAAGGGTCAGGGAGGACCTCATCATTGTGTGTAAATATCTGAAGGGAGGATGCAAAGAGGATGGAGCCAGGCTCTTTTCAGTAGTGCCCAGTGACAGGTCCAGAAGCCATGGGCACAAACTGAAACATAGGTGGTTCCTTCTGAACATCAAGAAACACTTTTCTACTTTGAGGATGACTGAGCACTTGCACAGGTTGCCCAGGGACGTTGGGGAGTCTCCATCCTTAAAGATACTCAAAAGCTGTCTGGACACAGTCCTGGTCAGCCAGCTCTAATAGTTCTGCTTGAGAAGAAGGGATGGACTAAATGACGTCCAGAGTTCCCTTTCAATCTCAGCCATTCTGTGGTTCTGTGAAAATGGGTTACATACAAACTAAAGACCAATATTCTGGTAGAATAACTGAATTTATAATGTAACATAGCCAGAGAGTGATATCCATGATTTTTCTAGAAGTCTTTTGTGATAAAAAAGTAAAATTACATTTAATCTCGGTTCTCCATACTGAATATAAAAGGAAAAGTACTGATGGGTGGCATTGACATTAAAAATTAATTATTTCTTATGTTTAATTACTGTTTTAATAGAAAAATAAAAAATATATTTAAAATTACATAAAAATTCTAAGCTTAATATAGATGATGACAATGAGATATATAGTCACATGGATTTTCAAATGAGTTGCTGCAGTTGGACTCTGAAATCTACACTTTGGTATCCTAATTAGTGTCATGACTCAAAAAAATATCAAATATGCAAAACACTGTTTAGAACATTTATGCTCAATCCAGGTAGTGGCTGGGATCAGTAAATAAATAAATGGAACTCTGAAATATTGTGAAGTCGGCATTCTGGGAAATAAACCGTAAAAGATTAAGCTAATGAAGTAGAATATAAAACCAGAATTGTGGTGGAATAGCCATATTATGCTAAGACAACATATTGAACAGGGTGTGCAGCTCAGAAAAGACAAAAGAAAAAGACAAAGGCACTGGGTTAAGAAAAATTGAACATTAGTGATGGGATAGATAAAGAAGAAAATACAAAAATTTGCTTGCGTCAAAATGGTTTTGAGGAAAGATGACTGTCCTGGTTTTGCCTAGGATAGAATTAATTTTCTTCCTAGCAGTTGGTGCAGTGCTGTGTTTTGGCTGTAGTCTGAGAATAATGCTGATAACACTCTGATATTTTAGTTGTTGTTAAGTAGTGCTTATCCTGATCAAGGACTTCTCAGTGTCTCATGCTCTGCCAGGGAGGAGGAGCACAAGAAGCCGGGAGGAAGCAGAGACAGGACACCTGACCCAAACTAGCCAAAGGGGTATTCCATACCACAGCACGTCATGCCCAGTATATAAAATGAGGGGAGTCAACCAGAAGGGACCAATCACTGCCCAGGTTGGGCTGAGTATTGGTCAGCGGGTGGTGGGCAACTGTATTGTGCACCACTGCTGGTTATTGTTTTTTCCTTTTCCCCTTTTAGTTTTATATCTTTTCCCCTTGTTTTTTCCCCAATCATAATTGTTATTAGTTAGCAGTAGTATACTGTACTTTAATTATTTAACTGTTTTTATCTCGGCCCATGGGGTTTACATTCTTTCGATTCTCCTCCCCATCCTGCCCTGGGAAGGGGATTGAGTGAGCAGCTGCAGGGTACTGAGTTAATGGCTGGGTTTAAACCACAAGAATGATAAAAATTATTCTGTTGGGATGCCGCTGAGAGTTACTACATACTGCAAAGCAGTTACACATTGTGATCCCCTTAACAGTCACAAAAACTGACCAGAAAACTAAAGACAAGAACAGGAGAGGAATTGGAATTAGCATACTGCTGAAGCCGAGAGAAAATCAGTAAGACATGTTGTTCCTTACCTGATATTACTGAAATAGCTTTCAAAGTCCTCAGTACTCTGAAAGTTCGAAGAGCTGAACCCTTGCCCACAGTAACATACCTATAAAATTAAACCATAATATAACCAAATGACGAAGATCTAGCTTTTCAGAGCATATGCATACTGAGAAGACAGTAATGAATAAAGTACAGAAAATAAATAGGTCAACTATGTCCTAAGGTAGATGCATAAAGCCAGGAATCTAAGTCTATTTTTAAATATTGATATAAAATAATTAGACTTTTGAATAGTGCCTCTGAAAAAAAAATACGGTTTTTACTTAGTGTTTATTTGGATGCTTAACCTTTGAGTTCTTATCCATCAAATGTCAAATAAATATAAAACCTTTGATGTCCTAACTGTAAGATGCTAATCTGATTTAGAAGACCACATGAAAGTATATGTTGCAGCTATTTTAAAACTACACAATATATACTTTAGAAGAAGGGTGTTGAGCAAAGATAGGTTTACAATATGTCAATTCTGTACCACATGGCTCTCTTTCTAACTTCTATTTAACCGTCAGCTAGGTACTTGACTATTGAAACTGGTTTCAATTTAATAATTTCAACAATTCAAAGATTTCAGAAAATTAGTATTTTGTGAGTAGTACATTCTATACAGCACTTAAGCAGGCTTTATATTGCGTAATGCATTTTATAAGGTTTCTTTCATGTCAGAATGGACGTAAGTTGTGACTCATCTTATGACAGGATCATAACTGGCAACATAATTCCTTAAAATAAAAGTTCTCAATAATAGAATCTGCTAAACATTGGTTGGAAAGGACCTCTGGAGTTTGACCTCTCACTCAAAGCATGACTTTTGTCAGCAATAGATCAGAACACTACTACTTTGCCTAGCCTGTAAGATTAAATAATTCTCAATTATCTTTAAGTAATAACTGCACTTCAGTTAACTGTTAATTTCCAAACATTTTTATTTGTTGCATGATAGGATCCCACAAAAAAAAAAATCAACAAAAAACCCCACAAAAAACACAGAAAGAGATACTATAGTGCTTATACCTGCTTGGATACAAATAAATAGGAGCACGGGCAGGAAAGTAAGACAATAAAATGAAATTGTTCATACAGTTGTTGGACTGCTTGATAGTTGCTGATGATTAACATGTAAGCTCCTTAGGAGTTTACAGACTACCCATAAGAATACTTTGTTCATATGCATATATATGTGCATGATGACATCTGAGTTCATAACCTATTATTTACAAATAAGGAAAAAACAGTCAGGGGTATAACTGCTGATGGCAGCCTTTGCTACAGAACCCATGAGGTGATGGAATTTAAAATTTGAAGAGAAATAAGCAAATTGAACAGCAGAATAACAATCTTGGGCTTCGGGACAGCAGATTTCAGCATGTTCAGAGATCTGAAACTGCCCAAAGGGACAAGCAGCTCCCAAAACATCTGGTTGATCTTCAGCAGTGTTTTCTTTAAGGCACAGTAATGGCACACACTACTCTGTAGAAAGTCAAGCGGATGTGGCAGAAAACCAGATTGGCTGAACGTGGAGCTCCTGACTAATCTCATATTTGAAAAGGAAGTGTGCAGAAAGTTGAAGCAGACACAGCTCTGGGAAGGGACAGTAAGACATTGCCAAGCATGCAGGCATGAAACAAGGGAAGATAAAGTGTTCAGCTGAAGTTGAAACTAGCAAGAGATACGAAGGACAACAAGACGGGCTACTTTAAGTATATCAGCAGCAAAAAGATAACTAAAGAAACTCCAGGCCTGTTGTTTAAGGAGGCAGGGAACCTAGCGCCAAAGGACATCCAAAAGCTGAAACTACTCAGCACTGCCTTGATTAGCTCTTTCCCAGTGAGGTCTGCTCTAAGGCAGTGAAGTGAAATATTATCCATGCATCTATGTGCTGTGATCAAAGGGTCCAAGTTCAGCTGGTGGCTGGCATCCCTCATCAGTCAGCCCTGGGGCAAATATCATTTAATAATTTCATTAGCCTCCTGAAGAATGGAACAGAGTTTACCTTCAGCAAGTTCACAAACTCTAAGCAGGAGGGAGAGCAGTCAATACACAGGGTGGCAAAGCTGCATGAGTTTGACAGACTGGAGTTATGGACTGTAGAAACCTCATGAAGGTCAGCAAAAGCAAAGGCAGTGTCTTGCCCCCAAGTCAGCATGACTTCAAGTAGAAGATCAGGGTAGACTGGATAATGAACAGCTGCGTAGAAAAGGACTTAGGGTTATGGAAGACAAACTGAACATGCACGAGCAGAGCACCATTGTGAAATGGAACCCCTATCACATGCTGGGCTAGATTAGCATGAGTCTAGCTCATATGTTGAGAAGTCTAGTTTATACACTGAAGGAAGTGATTTCTGAGAATGAATCTGTGTCCAGCTTCGGCATCTCCAGGGCAAGAAAGACATTTTACATAGTGGAGCAAGTCCAACCAGGGCTCTAAGGAGGGCAGTAAGACAATTAGATGGTTAAATTATCAGGCTGGATTTGATTTGTTGAGTTTGAAGAAGAGCAGGCTAACAGTGTGCTGGAGCAGGAATCTGATTGCTTGCTGCAGCTGTCCAATGTAAGGTCTTAGAGAATATGGGTCCAGGCTGTTCTTTAAAGCTCACCATGGAAGAGATGCAGCAGACATAACTTGCTACACCAGTCATTTCAATCAGAAATCTGAGAAAAAAACCCCAACACTATGTGGCTGGAATAGCTTGCTCAGAGATGCTGTTGAATCTCCATGCTTAGAGAAACTCAGACTTCCCTGCACGAGGTCCTGAGCAGCCTAATCTAAATTAGTCCTTGCTTTCAGCACAGAGTTGGACCACAGGATCTCCTGGGGTCCTTTCGAATCTAAATCTACACCTCTAATAAATTGGAGTAAGACAATTGAAAATCACTCAGAAATGCTAAATGACAGATATGCTTTGAAAGCTCTGAGACTGGACATGAATGGATCTATTCACTGCTGTAAGTAAGACTAATTTGCTTTCAAGATTAATTATCTGTATTTGAGATGCAAATTCTGACTTGGTTTCTTCCTCATTTCTTGTCCACTTAGCTAGTTGGTTTTGGTATGAATTTAAAACTGATCAGAGCAGTATTCCATCTGGCCTATTACTCTGTCTTCAAGAATTACCCACAACAGATGCTTACAGGGGAGTTTAGAATCAAGACAGTGATGCTTCCTAGTTTTAGTTTTTCCAGTAAATTTATAGCTCAGGGACTTCCTGAACAAGACAGAGTATATTTATGTTAAAAATAACCCTTAATGTGTTTTCATCTGGGATTTTGTCCAGATGACTCCTGGATGCAAGTAATTTTTTTCCATCCACAACCTCCTATAGGAGAAATATGCCTAGATGTAGTGTGAAAAATAACTCCTTTTTTATTCTGCCATATGACAACTTCACTTGGTGCCTTTAGCTCTTGTTGGAGGAGAAAAAAAATAAAATAAAATTACTTATTCTCCTTTTGGCTTTATGCCACAGACTTCAACCATATTCCTGCTCTGGGTTTTTTGAGGGGTTTTTTGTTTGTTTGTTTTGGTTTGTTTTTTTTATGATAGTTCTCCTCTATTTTGTTGGTTATTGTATAGAATAAAAGATATACGGCTTCTCTGTATCTTTCTTTAATTCTTTTGAGGTGTCAGGAGTAAAATGACATACTGTCCTGGAGAAAAACACAAGATCACACATAGAAGGAACTATATGTTCTGCTTCTTTCTTTATTTCTTACCTGTAATGTCCTTATTTTCTATTTCCTTCTCTGACCATGATTGAACACCGGAGAGGTGCTTTCACGAGATCGTCTATTTGAACTCCATCATCATCTTTCCAACAAGTCAAAGCCATTTCAGAAGTGTGTTTTGCCTTGAGCATTAAGGAAATAATTCTTGGGATTTATCTTTTATTTATCACCATGTTGTTCAACACCCTTGTGACCCACTTTGGATCCTTCTCAAAAGAGTTTCAGCTGATCCAGACTACAACTAAGACAATATAAACAGGCATGCTTGGTTTTGGTTGTTTATGCAATTGCCTCCTAACAAAATTTAAATATGTACTAAATTGAGAACAATCAGGCAGTTCTAAGATGACCTTTGCATTTAGGTCTTGCTTTAAGGCCTATATGCAAAGGATGACTCAAACACAGCAACTCTTAAGCAGGTAGGATGCCAAACACTCTAAAGAACTTCAGCAATATCAAACCGCATTTTATCTGGGTGTTTGTCCCTCGAGTGCAAAAAACACTGAGTTTTACTTACGTTATAACAGTAATGACAAAATCAATGAAGTTCCATGCATCTCGAAGAAAGGTAAATTCATTCCAAACAAATCCTGCTGCTACTACTTTTATCAATATTTCAGAAGTATATATGCCAGTAAAAATATGTCTGGAAAGGAAAGTGTTTATTAAAGTTGTAGAAATAAAATATTAAAGAGATTGAAACACATTCAGGCACATTTCTACCTTTTGTATGATTTAGTCACTGGATGGAGAAGAAGGTAAAATAAGTTACATTAATTTCAGAAATACCATGAGTATAAGAGGATGCCTTCCTGAATTTTAGTAAGATTTCCATGTAAATCTATAAACACATATGTTCACATAAGTATATGATACTATTTCTGGATGAAAGATGAAGGATTTCATTCCTTATGAAATGTTTTTATGGCTGTGTTTATGTGCTAAAGCAGGCTGGCAAATTACCAAGCCTCAACATTTTGGCAGAACAATAACAGCAAAGACTTATTTTAGCCTATAAAGTTTGCACATATTATATATATATTCTGACAAATCCTACATAAAATTAAGCTATCATTATCACCATGCTTAGCCCAAAATAAGAGGAATTAAAATTATAGAAACTCTGAGGCTCCAGCCACATTTTCAAGATTTAATTTTAGAATATAAACTCAAGTTACACTTGATACATTGTACAATTATAAAAGATAACAAAACATTAGGTGGTTTCCTAATGTGAACAACTGAACTAGGGTGTCCACAGGAAACAGCAAGGAAGAATGGAATTAATATTTATCCCTTTATAGTTTTTGCATCAGCCAGCCATAACAGAACTTCAGGTTATAGCTTTAGAATGAGAGATATTAAGTTAGAATCCTACTGCACAGTCTCTCTAAAAGGCTTAATTCTTAAAAAGAAAAATGGGGCAACCTTCTACTTTACATCAGACGCCAAAATTAGCCAATATAGAAAAAAGGGCATATGGTGTAAGCCTCTAAGAAAAGGCACTGAAACTCCACAGAAGACTGTGTGACTTAATAATAAGAATAATCCCAAATCTTCCTCAAGAGGTCTATCTGAGAATTTTTAAGCCCCAGAACTGGATCACTGCATTATTTAAATTCTTCAGTCCAGCATGTTAGTATCCCTAGAAAGAGTGAAAAATGGCAACTGAGGTACTTACTCAGTCCAGCAGAGTTCTTTTGGAAGATTTACAGTCATGGAAACACAATTGAGTACCACAGTACATATAATAAAGCCAGTAAATAATGTGAATAATAAGTTAAGGAAAAAGTTCTATACTATAAAAAAATTATGTCCAGAAAAGCTGCTGATTTACACATAAGAAACCATACCATTTTTTCAAATAATTTCTTTGGTTTTGAATATACTCAGGACTTTTCATGTGTTTTTCAAAGAAAAGTATGTCAGATAAAAATTCTGCTCAGATAGATAAACTTAATGATTTAAAAATAACAATTAATTGTTTGCACATGGAGATAGTTTTGGAAGTTAGGACACGAGCAGGACATAATATGTTTGACAGAAGAGAGGAGGAACATTAATGAAAAAAATCTGAGTCCTCTTCTGCCTACTGCTATTTGAAATTTTAGAAACCTCCATTTCTTCCTGGCAGGAGCAGGAGATAAAGAGAAATGGGCCACAACCCCATAATAATGAGGCTTTTAAGCCTATGAAAAACAGATGAAAAGGTTTAATTATCAAGAACCACTGTTCCTTGAAATTGGAAGTCCATATACACATGCTTAAAAGAGACATTTAAGCTCTGCCACAAGTTCAGAAAGCTTTCTCATTTTATGTGGCAGGTGGTGAAAACATACTTAAGAAAAAAATTGCTTTCATGAAAGTTGACTTGGCCCCTAATAAAAAGTGTTTGGGTTTTTTTAACAAACATTGGTCTTAATTTAGGGTTTATTTGAAACTGAACAGTAAATTTAACAATTTCTAATAGCATGAATGCACATTAAAAGTCAGCCATAAGTTCCCATAAAAGGACCTATTTCTTCAAATTAATAATTCCAAATGAAATTAGATGTTTGGCAGAAAGAGCAGAAACTGCTCAGCCTATGGTTTTACACCTGCGATCCTTCACATTTTTACATTCTCCAAACTACATTTATATTATTGCAAAAAAAAGATATAAAAAATGAGTGGCTCGTCAGAACTTTCTAAACTTGAGTGTGGAATGCATTTTTGGGGATAACATCAGACTTTTTCAGCAAAGCGTGGCTGAAAATCACATCCTTCCCAGGGTGTCACTGGGTTTTCTGGTTTTTTTTTTTTTTTAAACTTAGGCTTATCACCACAGTAGGGATTTAGAAAGAGTTCTGGGAAAGGGTTAAAATATCATACAGTAGCCTTTAAATGTGTTTTCATAACAGTATCTGCAAATCATCAGTATCTGCAAATCCGCAGATTTGCAGATTTGAGATTTTTTGGCATTTTTACGTATACCAACATGATGTAAATATTTCAGATGTTGTAAAACAACATTCAATATAGCTTTTGAAAAACCTCTATCACAGCTACATGAGCTTACATTTACATTAATAAGAACAAATGAACAACAGAAAATGTTACAGTATGTTTTAAAACTGAAATAAGGGAAACCAATAAAAGGATATGAATGGGTCATAATTTTAATTGCTGCTTTTCTGACTGGATTAAAAGGACCAATTATACATAAGGCAGGTGTGGCAGTAAACCGGTAAATAGTCCTACTTTTGTTTAACACCATAAAAGTCTATTAAAAAAAAAAAAAATATTCATATGGTATCAAATATTTTAATGAAACAAAATTTCAACCCAAAATTAAATGTTCAGGTTTTCAAATCTGCATCTAGAACTATAACTAACTGCAATTATGAGTAATGCTTTCCTATACTCTTACTTGGAGCTTCGATTTGATGATAACTACATTTTGAAAGAAAGACAGCAGCTACATAAATCATAGAGTCATAGAATGTTTTGGGTTGGAACAAATCTTAAAGATCATCAAGTTTCAACATTCCCTGCCATGAGCAGGAACAAAAGTTAAAAGAAAAAGTTCATTATTGCCTGCGAGGAAGGAGCTAGTAATGGGAATGAATTTGAAGAGCAAGTGATGATATTCACTTGATCAAAGTAATCAAAGGATACTATTATGGGACTGCAACAATGGTGTTAATCGAAATTAGAAGTACTTTACTCTTGGATAGCTTTATAGGCCATGAAAAATTATTTACAAAATACATGTTGTGTATAACTGCCAGAATCTAGTCATGTCAAAGTAAAAATTTTAGTTTTGAAATGTATCTAAATTACCAAGTAGGTAAATTCCCTCTAAGCTACCTTAAGGTCATAGGTATTATACTTAGGTCATATACTTAGGTATAAATACTTAGCTTACTATTTTTTACATGAAGTAAAAAATTAAATCTCTTCATAAAAAAAGCACAGTTCACTACATTTTATGTAAATATCTTGAACTGAATCAGCCTTAGTTTCTCTTCATCAAGAATATTACTGATTGCTTCAAGAAAAGAAACCTCAGGAAGAAAAAAGCTTTCTGCATGTTCTCTGATTAAATTATTATATTCCAGTGACTTACTGGTATAAATAAAAGAAAGCAACACAGGACTGGATGGAAGCTTCTGCTCTTCAGGTCAAGCACCCCTTAATAGTAAGCAATCATACAATAAACATCTAATTTAGAAGGAATTCCTCGATCAACTACCTTACACAGTCCTGTAGGTAACAACAGAAACCAGTTTGCAATAGCATGGTGCATATGCAATATATGTGTGGTAGAATAAACAAAGCTGATGAGACATAAAATAACTGGAAATTAATTTACCGTAATGAAAATACACGGGTTTGCTGCACAGAGTACTTGAAATATCTCAAATATGTCTCCCTCAATTTGTATAATATTTGTAATTCAGCAAAACAAATGCAGAAAGTCATCTACTGTTTGACAAGCACTGTTTATATGACAGTGAGCTCAGCCCCACAGACATCATATGAACTGCTCTGGGAAACAAAGCATCAGTTATCCCAGAATATATTTCCTGTCAAAGTGTATCTACCAAGTCAATCAGGTTTTCACAGTTAATTCTAATTGTTGTCTGGAACTTAAAATACCTTTTCATTACACAATGTGGAGCATACCTTAGCAGTCCTGACCCAAAAAACACGAATAATGTTTGAAGATCTGTCTACAGAAAAATCAAAACCCAGCAGCTTCTGAATAGAGGTTTTACTATCTCTTAAGAGTTCAGAAGACAGAATTAAATAAAATAATGCTTTTGAAAGTTTTAACCTTGCGATCACTGTAGTATGGATCAATATCCTCCAGGGGTTCCCCAATGAGCTCCACAGGAAGATCCCCATACAGAGATGGCAGGGTTTTGCAGGTTTTCAGGTCAAGCTTAGGAGTAAGCTTATTTTCTTCAACTTCTTTGTCGTTATTCTCCCTTTTAACTTCAGCTTGCTGGGATTTTTTCTCAGCAATCCTTTTCTCAATTGCTGCCAAGGACTCATGGGTGAAAGGCCGAAAGTTGTTAGTTTCTGATGACCAAAACAAGGGATCCATTTTTCCTTCTGTATGTTTCATTCCAGTGCTAGAAGTAACTTAAAAGAGAAAGCTACTGACAATTAGAAAATAACAGAAATAACACACAGATTAAAAATAATACCTATCAGATAATTTCTTCCTTCTGTGAAATACTGTATTAGACTAGACTAGACTAGACTAGAATGGAATGGAATAGAATAGAATGGAATGGAATGGAATAGAATAGAATGGAATGGAATGGAGAGGAGAGGAGGACATGGAACAGAAGGAATGGAATGGAATGGGCTATTTCAGTTGGAAGGAACCTACAACGATCATCTAGTCCAACTGCCTGACCAATTCAGGGCTGACCAAAAGTTAAAGCATGTTACTAAAGGGCATTGTCCAAATGCCTCTTAAAACACTGACAGGCTTGGGGCATTGACTACCTCCCTAGGAAGCCTGTCACAGTGTTTGACCACTTTCTCAGTAAAGAAACACTTTTTCCTGTCCTGTCTGAAACTCGACTGGTGCAAGTTTGAGCTGTTCATCCCCTTTGAACTCATTCATCCTATCACTGAATCACAGGGAGAGCAGCACCTCCATCTCCACCTGCCCTCCCATAGAGGGGACTGTCAAAAGCAATGAGATCTCCCCTCAGCCTCCTTTTCTCCAGAGTAGACAAGCCCAAAGTTCTTAGCTGCTCCTCACTAGACATTCCTCCCAGCCCTGTCACCAGATTCGTTACCCTCCCCTAGATGCACTCAAGGACCTTCACAAACATTATTTTAGCATTAAGGATTTGGGAGCTGAATTTAAAAAAAAATAAATAATGAAGGCTGAATCTTTTAAAAAACAGTGATCAAAAGCAAAAAAACCAATACATCCCCTTCAGCAGCAGTGACTAGAAGTTGTAACTGGACAAAAATTCACTGACAACATGAGAGGATTTCTTCAGAAGACATCTACCAGCATTGCTTGTGTGCTTACATTGAATAACAGACTTTTTGGCCTTTCATCAGCTGCCAAGTATTTATAGATTGTGACCTAGGTTAGAAAAAATGAAGCTACGAAGATGTGACTGAAAAAAATCCTTGCAATACAGAGGACTAAAAAATTTTGAAAAGACAGAGTGAATACTCCTGGGGAGATTCCAATTGGACACAAGAGGAAAATTTTTCACACTGAGAACAATCAGCCATTGGAATAACCTCTCCAGTGAAGTGGTGGGTTCCCCAGCACTGGACAGTTTTAAGATTCAGTTGGACAGGGTGCTGGGCCACCTAGTCTACATCATGCTTTTGCCAGGAAAGCT